GACAGACAAAAGAGGAAGGAGTAGGCTAGGGCAGGGGAGTGATGGAGAAAGTGGCTTAGACTTTCAAGGGTTGCCCCCAACCTGGCCAAGATTCCTCAGTTGGAAAGCAGCCACTTTGTCTGAATCAGGGGGGCCTTTCTTGTGTCTCCTAAGACAACCAAGTCCTGTTCATTGACACAGAAATTGTCGTTAAAGATCTCAAGGTACCGAACAGTCAAGGATATCCCATGCTTTCGGTGCAGTTTTCTGGGGGCCTTTTGGGGGGCGCTTGTTGGGGGAAGGAGAGATACAGGGCAATTCCAGGGGAATTCAGGACGAAGGCACCCCACTGAGTGGTGATAAGCCTTTGTGTCTGTGGGTGGAAAGGGCAAATAGAGTTTTGCTTATTCAGTGTGGATCTTGGGGTGCCTCCCAGAGCCTAGACTAGTGCTGGCCCGACTAGGGGGAGAGGGAGGCAGGGGGAAGAGGAGGGAAAGCTCTGGTCAAAAAGGCCAAAGCCTGCTTCTCATACTGGTGCCTTATCTTGGGCAAGTCGGTTTATTTCTCTCAGCCACAGTGTCTACATTAGTGAAATGGAGAGGGTCTGCCTGGACCCTCTTTCCCCCAGGATGACATCAAGATCAAATGAGATAATGGGTGTGAACTGGGAAGTACTATGCACACAAATTGAAGTATTCACTCTATTAGAAAATATACCTAATGACTCTCCTCGGTGTCAGGCACAGGGCTATATACATTTTACATTCATTATCTTCTTTAGTCCTTGAACTAATTCTATGAGGTAGGTAAACTTATCCCTATTTATAAACTGGGGCATTGATTCGTGAAGAGAATAGGTGACTTTCTGGGAGTTACACAGCTGGTCAATGGTAGAGCCAGGATCTAAACCAGTGCAGGTAATCCCTGCGGTGGGCTGTCTCCTTGAAGCAGAATTCTCTGCCCGTGGGATTAGGCCTCCTTGCTTCTCCCCTGAGCACTGGCTGTATTAATCCAGAATGGTCTGACCAGGGGGCCTGAAAGGGAAAAGGAAAATCCTTATCTGTATCTCTCCTCCGCAGGGTTTGACTTCTTTGAAGCCAGCGCCAAGGAGAATATCAGTGTGAGGCAGGCCTTCGAGCGCCTGGTGGATGCCATTTGCGACAAGATGTCTGATTCGCTGGACACGGACCCCTCCGTGCTGGGTGCCTCCAAGAACACCCGTCTCTCGGACACCCCGCCGCTGCTGCAGCAGAGCTGCTCATGTTAGGCAAGGCCCACCCTCCTGACCTCCCCTCATTGTGGCCCCACACTCACTCTGCTTCCCCTGTTACACTCTGTCCACCCCAGCCCCGAGCCAGCTGCGTTGCTGCTGCTCTTTGCCTGCCTTGGAGGTGGAAGCATGCCCGAGGGGTTCTCTGCAGATGGCCCCACTCACAGACACTCAGCTCTAGCCGAACAGCCAGGTTGCAGTGTGGGTGCAGATTTACAGAAGAAGACTCCATTTTGCAAAGGGGACTCACTACAGGGACTTGGAAAGCAAATCTCTTTTCTGCCTTTAGAATAAGATATCCTCCATTTACCAAAACTTGACACACACACACACTTGCCTTGCCTGGCCGACTGTGTAAAGTGAGGCCCACCTGCAGCTAATCCTATTAAAGAAAACCTCCCCGTACACGACATGCTTGTTTCATATCGGGCTCCCCTGTGGAGCTTCATCACACTGCAAGTCAAGCTTCGCTCTGCAAGCCCTAAGCCTGTTACCACGGATGCCCACAGGGCCTGGGCAGTTGCTGTGGTGACAGGCCAGACCTAATCTCCAGAGAGCTCTGTAATGATGCTGAAGGAGCAAAGGCTGAGTCAGAAACACACTTAAAAGAAAAAGCTTATTCCCTGAAAAATGTCAAAGGTTCCTGCTATATGAAAGAGCAAGCCAAGAAAGAAAAAAGAGAAACACGGGCAAGATAAAGAAGCAGGTCATGAATTTCTGATTTTGCTGCTTTCCAGCTGGTTCAAAACTGTGGGAACTCTTTGAAATTGGTCATTGGTTCTTAAACTCCCAGAATCTGAAAAATTTAGAGTTGGTAAGATCCCAAATTTGACCTAGCCTGACTAGTTAATTCCCATCCCTATCTCTGACAAGTGGCTGTCAGGCCTCACAACCAAATCTCTTCCCCTAAAGCACACGTTCCTGGTAGGGACAGGAGCTCATTGTTCACCCTATCTCTGGGCAGCTCTCATAATCAGAAGTTTTAAGCTTAAATCTAACTCCTAGGAATTCTTCTTCCTTTTCTCACTCAGTTTGTACTAGCTCTGCTGTCAGAGACCTCACAAAGTCTGCTTCCTCGGTCCCATGACACCCTGAGGTGACTTGAGAACAGAAGTCATGACCCCTGGGATCTGCCCTTTCTCTACATCAAATAGTTCTACTTCCTTCTGCCACTGTCCATAGGAACTTCTCCCAATCCTGCCCTTTCTTCCAACCCATCTTTCAATGACTCCTGAGTAGTCCAACTGGGAAATGTGGTTCAAAGCAGAATGAATTTAAGGGGGGGAGGGAATGACCCTGAAACAAATTGAGGAAAGTAAAAGCAGATGTTTGAATCCCAACCTCATATATTCTCCCCGGAGTGAAACTTTAGTGTTTACCAAAAATCGGATGTGAAACCACTCCTGGAGGTAGCTGCTTAATTAAATACCTGAAGAAAAGAAAAAATACGTGAAACTCTCTGGCTCTAGAAACAAACTGAATGGGTTAATTCATGATACTAGCTTTTTTTGTAGACACTGCACATGTTTGGTTTTTAGCTGAAACAATGACATGGAACTAAGTGATGATTTCTGAAAATCTTTTCTCCTAACCCTGGCCTGAACCCCGTTTCCCCTTGCTCTAACATGCCGCCTCAAAGTCAGTGGGGGTGAGGGAGGGAGTCTCTTCCAAGTTTTCTCTCCATTTCAGATGCAGCTCATTGTCCTAGGAAAGTGCATTAACTAGCAACAGGTCCAAGGACTACATTTAAGGGCCCTCCAGAGTCGGCCCTATGGAGAAGTTGATTTCTCTGACGCAGTGCAGAGGATGAAACTTTGGTCTTGGAATCAGGAGACCTGGATTCTGCCCTTAAATCAAGTGTGACGCCAGACCAGAGATACTCCTCTGAGTCTTGATTTCCCACCTACAAAATGAGGGGGACTATTTGGATAATCTTTAACATAGCTTCTGGCACTAATAACTCTGTGACTCTTTTTCACCTTCATCATTTCAGTTGATTTGCAACATAAACCTGAGGAATGAGGATCTTCACCCCAATGTCATTGTAGCTAACCCTGATGTCATTGTTCCAAGCACTTTACGTATATTAACTCATTTTGCTTCCCAACATTTTTGTGAGGGAGGAACTATAACCAACCTCTTTTAAACATGAGGAAATTAAGGTATAAAGAGATTCTCTAGCTTGCCTAAAGTCATCAAATGAGCAAATGATAGAAAATGGGTTCAAACCCAGGTAGTAGGCTCCAAGGTTTATGCTCTTCGCCACACTCTATACTGCATTTCTTATAAACTATGATCCAAAGAAGTTAAGAGATTGGTCAAGATCACACAGCTAGATCTATATGAGATTCAATTCCAAGGCCATCAGATTTTAAGCCTACTGGAGAAAAGATATGTCTCTAATCTGTTAACAAACTTATTCACACTAATCTGAACACTCTGCAAAGCAGAATCAGTCTCTTAAGCAACCAGATCCCCTGGGCCTGAGGAAAAGATGTCTAGTGCTTCTCTAGCCCAAGCACTGGCTTTCCCTGTACCTGCCTCTGTCAGGCAATTCTTTATTTTTAGTTTGTATTGATTTTACAGAGAGAAAGGAAGAGAGAGAGAGAGAGAGAGAGAGAGAGAGAGAGAGAAAACATTGATTTCTTGTTACCCTTATTTATGTATTCATTGGTTGATTCTTGTATGTGCCCTGACCGAGGATCAAACCCACAACCTTGGCATATGAGGACAATACTCTAACCAATGAGCTGTCAGGCAATTCTTATCTAGCTCTCAAGCAGTGCTTTCAGCAGCCTCCCTGCTCCAGCAATGGGGCATTTTGGGGAAGTGACTTGTTCAACTTTTCTGACCATGGAAGAATGTGGTCCCCTCACAGGGAAGGAGTTTTGGCTTTGCTTTTCACACTGTCAAGTCCCATACAAGTCAGGGATAATTACTATTTTCCTGGGCAGTAACATCCATCTACCTTAGTAGTAGGATTTCAGACTGAGCTCCTCACGCCCCCTTGGATATTTCAGTACATATATCAAATAATCCTTTTTCTCTTACTGAGTAGCCAGGCAAACATTGAAAATTTTATTTAAAAACTGTCAAATTCTTTACAACTCAGGGGCTGGTTCAAGGGAGCAAGCATCTTTACAACAGATGGAATCAAGAGTTAAATATGATAGTGGCAAACTCTCCTACTGGTGACAGAAAAATAGACCTGCTTATTAGATGGCAGTCCCCCAGCCCTGCTCTGTGACCTCATTTCCGCTAAGTGGAAGGCAGCAGCTTCCAGCTGATTGCAGTGCAATGTTCATCAATCACAGTAATAGCACCGTTAGCCACCAAGGTTCAAGCTACATAATATGTGTTAGTGGCAACTTGTCCTGGTTTTCATCTTGTTTAAAAATCCAAATAAAAAAGGATTTTAAAAACACAGCCGAAACCGGTTTGGCTAAGTGGATAGAGCGACGGCCTGCGGACTGAAAGGTCCCAGGTTCGATTCCGGTCAAGGGCATGTACCTGGGTTGCGGGCACATCCCCAGTGGGGAGTGTGCGGGAGGCAGCTAATCGATGTTTCTCTCTCTTCGATGTTTCTAACTCTCTATCTCTCTCCCTTCCTCTCTGTAAAAAATCAATAAAATATATTAAAAAAAAAACCACATACACCATTTTGACCTCGAAAGAAACAAAAGTAGGCCAAAAGTACAATACAGTATTGTAGCTATTTATAGAATCTGTTTTAAATGCATGTGTATCTGTAAATACAGAGTGATTGGTGGCATATTGTCTCGTCAGTCTGTAACATTATTATAGATTTGGCAGGAAAAGGAAATATAGATTTGGAAAAGTTAATACGCCTAAGTCACCCACTAGGACCATTGGAACCTAACTCTGTCTGACTCATGTGCTTTCAGCTTTCCTCTTCAGATTGCCTCTCAGATGAAGGTTATATGGGATGGTGGTAATGACACACTCCCAGGAAGTCTCAGAGTTAATTAAATAACCTCATTTGAGACATAGGTTTCACAATTGCTTTGTGACTGCAGCCTTATAACATTCACAGAATATGAACATTCTCCAGATCTGACTCACATCCCCTCCTCCTTTCCTTGGAGATCAGGTTTCCTCGAGTGTCTTAAAGAATGTTTGTCAACAGTTTGGGATAAGGGGAAGGAATTATAGCAACTAGTGTCCTGGAATCTCACTGATTTTAGATTCTCCATCCCAAACCTACACCTGATTACCTGCCACAGCTGGTGACTGAGAGTATGTGCAAGAGACAGGCCCATGGGTTACAAATACTGCTAAATGATGTTTCTGAAAGCCTGGATCCCTTACGTGAAGTAGGCAAAAACTCAAATTTACTCATTCAACAAATTGGTATCTAATATGTACCAGGATACATTCGGTGGCAAATCAGATACAGTCCTTGCCTTCGTGAAGGTTATATAGTCCAATTCAGTGATTTTCAACCCCTGTGCACCAAGAGGCACACTGGTGTGCCCCAAGAATTTTTAAAACTTGCAATTCCTGACTACTTAATCAGGGGTATTGACCTCTTTTCTCTTATATTGCCAAATTAAAAAATGACAATAGCCAACACAACAATAGCCATCTGTTATGAATGAATCAAAATTTTATCTATATTTTTGTCAGATCAGCAAAAACTATATTTTTTGGTATGCCACAGAATTTTAGTGATTAGTTTAGGTGTGCCATGAGATGAAAAAGGTTGAAAATTGCTGGTCTAGTAGCTTGTGGTTTAGTCTACACCTTGTAAAGTAGCCACCCCAATGTAATTACAAAGTGCTCTGAAGGAAAGCTACATCATTCTGTGTCACCCGAGTCACCTTTGTGGAACTGTTTCAGGGGCACCAGGAAGATTCCACTGCACTCAGGTACCTCCACTACCCACCGGCCATTGCTTTACATCCCTCAATTAAGCTTTCATTTATTAGTTTGATGGCTGATTAAGTACAAATCCTCCCAAAAGAGTAAGGGAGAGAGAAGGAGCCTATGAACTGTGAAACATCTTTAGACTGCCTGGTTCAAAGTTAATTGTCTTCTGAGGAACATAACAAACAATTTCAAAACGTAGCGACTTAAAACTACAAACATTATTATTCATGGTTCTGTGGGCCGGCAGCTTCTTGCAGAAGCTGGATGTTCTAGAATGGCCTCATTCACATGTCTTTGTGCCCAGATGAGATGACTGGGGTGATGGAGGCCTCTGTCCACATCGTCTCATCCTTCAGAAAGCTGCCCAGATTTGTTCACATGGTGGTGGAAGTTTTCCCAGCAGCAAGCTCGGGCAAGCTCCAAAGCAGAAAGAAGCACTCATCAAGCCTCTTGTGTGCATCATGTTTACTAATGTCTCACCAACTAACACAAGTTACATGACCAAGCCCAGTTTT